GGTACAGTTAGCGGGGTCTTAGGGACCACCCATGGGTTATAAGTCCCTGAGACCGGCTGACTGGGAGCGTTGTAAGCCGCGTGAGAGGCTTGTTGAGCCTTGGCCTGATTCTGAGCCTGGTGTTGTGCAAGGGTGAACGATTGGCTAGATTGTGAGGCTTGTGCGTATTGCAGTGTAGGGGTATTCTGGTTTACCCGGTACTGAAGGTGGAGGATTTGAGATTGAGGTTGTGATTGAGAGGATGTTTGGGATGGTGCTGATGCCGGAGGTGTGAGGTAAGTTTTCTGTTGGTTCTGGTAGTATTGATGTGGTTGTGCTGGTGGTAAAGGTCGGTTAGGATCACCTTGGGTTACTTGAAGCCTTGGAATAGATACTTGGGATGTTGATTGAGGCTGAACATAGGATGGCTGGGTTTGAACCAAGAAAGGTTGTACTTTTTGAGCGTAGGACGGTTGGGGTGGAATATAAGTAGGTTTCGGTCTAGTAGTGGCAGTCCCCTGATCTCTTAACAACCCCCAGTCCTCTTCATTTATTTGTTCTACCACCACCCTTGGCGCCAAAGTCGGAATGATCTTCTCGTTGAAATAAGGAAGAACACAATCAAGGAGACAAGCTGGCATACAGGCAGGAATGCATTTTGACGAAGCCGCTCCGTTTGGTAGAATAGGTGGGTTGTAATGTTGAGGGGTTGATGGATTGCTTCGCAGATATTGATAGGCGCATTTTGGATCGCAAGCTGGACGGCAACCTTCTGGGCATGAAATGTAGAGAAGTACTTGCATGGCGACGACGCAGTTTGGGTTACAAGCTGGTAGACAAGCTGGGAGACATTGATCACGTTGTGGTGCAGGTGAAGTGGTACCTGGAGTGAGTGGTGCTAGGGTGCTGGTGGTTAGAGGTGAGTTGGTGGAGGTGGTGCCAAGGTTGGCAGGTGTGGTTGGCTGATCATACTGTGGGTAGTCATAAGGCTCTACAGTAGTATACTCTAGCGGTGGAGGAGATGTTTCAGGCTCCTCTTCAGGATCATAAGGCTCATAAGGCTCAGAAGTTGTCCCTTCCACCGGATAAGAAGTGGTAGGAACTTCTGGTTCCATTTGGGTTGTTGTTAGTTCTTCATCTTCATATTCAAGTTCAGTGCTAGTGCTATCTGGATGCAGTGTGGTGGTTTCGAACTCGTAAACAGGCGTCTTTTCGGATGTGGGTACCTGTGGGGATGGAGTAGAAGTAGTAGTTGTTGTAGTTGTTGTAGCTTCTTGGATACATTGTTGCTCACATGATGGTTGACATTGTGGGATACACTGAGGGATCTGGGGTGGGGGTTGGGTAGCGACTACCTGCGGTTGAATGTACTGCTCCAAACAGGTTTGAAGGCATTGAGGCTGACACGGTGGGATGCATTGATTGACTACGGGGGCTGGGGCCTGTGTGGTAAGAACCACTGGTTGAGTACAAGATGGGAGACACGCTGGCATACAGCTGGGGACGCATTGGATTTGGATTTGAATGGGAACGGGGGCTAGGGTTGGGATGTTGGCTATTGGGATTTGGGTGGTTGTGGTGGTAGTGGCGGTACAGGATGGTAGGCATTGGGGCATACACGTTGGTGTACACTGAGCCCTCACCTCAATGGGTGCCTGTTGTTGCTGGGTTTGTGAGGAGATTGCTCCGATGCTATCACACGAGAGTTGGCAGGCAGTGGAGCACGACGGTGCACAGACGGATGGTTGGGTGGCGGTACACGTGGAAAGACAACGGTTCTCGCAGCGAGACTGACACGTGGCGGGTGGTGCTACAGTAACTGGAACGGTAATCCGCACCTGTTGGGGTTGGATTTGCTGGACTTGGGCCTGAACGGGAGCGGCCTGAACGCGTTGAGAACACTTGTCTGAGCACTCGTTGTTGCAGGAATTGGAGCACGAAGCGGCAGCGTTGCCTTGGGAAATGCATTGGGAATGACAGGATTGAGTACATTTTGGAGCGCAGTTCGAGTCGAAATAGGCGTCGTTGATGTCGAGAGTTATTTTGATCGTTGGTTGAGAGGTGACAGCAGTGGTTGGTACTGAAAAATGATCGTATTAAAAAAAATAATTTAGAAGTTGAGTACAGGCATGTGTCTATTTTATAGTACCGAGCAGAAAAAATCTTAACATCTTACATTGTTCGTTGGTGGCACATCCGAACTGACACGATTGTCTGCAAGTTTGTTGGCAAACGGCCGGTGGAGAGTTTTGAGAGACACATGCTCCTTGACACACATTCTGGCACACATTCTGACAGGAATCATCAACAGTTGGAGCAGAGGCGACTGGTACGAGGGGCTGAGGATTTGGTGGAGTGACCTGGAAATTTTCTATTCTGGTTTTTAAAATCTGGAAATCGGAGATCTTGCTCCATTTTTTCAGTCCACAAAAGATCCCACCTGAATATGTGCAATAGCATTCTGAGCAGCCGATGCACACGTTTTATCACAGGTGCTCTCGCAAGTTGTGGAGCAAGCGAACGTGTTGCCTGTGCTCTTGGAGCAAGATGGAATACAGGCTCGGACGCAGGTGGCTGAGCAGTCGGAATTCTAGAAAATAAAGAAGTAAGAAATAGAATTTTGGAATCTTCTTTTGAAATCTCACAATTTCAGCTCTCGGACATTGTGGCTGACAGATTGGCGCCTGTTGACACGTACATGCTGGTAGAGAGATTTGTGCGAAGAAAATTGGTTGTTGTTGACAGTTACAGAAGTTCGAGCATCCGCATTGACGTTTTAGGCGACGGCTCTGAATTGGGACAAATTGAGAATTCAAGAACCCCACCCTATACGAGGATTTTGAGCTCAATCATCTCGGTCCCTTCAAGAGATATCGAAAACATTTCAACGGGTAAAGTGTTGGTAAATTCCCGAAAAAAAATTATCATTTGACCCATTTTTATATCTCTCACAGGAACCGAGATAATTGAGCCAAAAAAGAACGTACAGGTTGGGCTTCAGTTAGGCCATTTACGGTACTTTCTTTTTATTTAAAACTATGAGACTTGTTAGAAGGTTTAGAAACTTTGTAAGAACTCAAACAGTTTATTCACATTTATCATTTAATTTTTCTCTAATCATTTTTATTTTTCCTGCTCTTCTGCTCATATTGTCTTCGCACTCACTTTTGCGGAAGGCTCATGTAAACATGAGCAACAACGATAGAAAATCTGTATTTCTGTGTCATTCGTGAGAAAAACCACTCGACGTTGGACCGGTACTCAACAACACACGGACAACATTCATATGCGTTTTTGGAGATTTTTTTGGAGGTGATTCCTGGAGGATTTGGATGGAAAGGTTGTGGTCATTTCAGGAAGAACCACAGATGATATGTGTGTTTCGTTTTTTGTTTTCGTTCGGAAGAAAAAGAGAGAGAAAGATCGAAAGATGAGTGGAAGCAGATACGTTTATAAGTCGACAAGATTTTAAAACTTGTTTAATTTGTGTTCTAGAAGTTTCAAAATATTAGGAACTTTCAATTAAACTTTCAAAATCTCAAAATTTCAGAATCAATGTTTAAAAGTTACAGTATCCCAAAAAATTTAAAAGTTCCAAAATCTGAAAAATTCAGAATCTTGGAACCTTGAAATCTTGAAACCACAGACCCCTTTGATCTCAGAATCTCAGAATTTGAAAAATTGCCACTTCTTCAGAAAGTCAGTATCTCAAAAATTTGAAAGATATTGGAAAGAATCGCCGTAATCACTCAAGTCAACTTTGAGCTCAATTATCTCGATTACTGATAAATCAATTAACATACTATCACAAATATTTTATTAGTAAAGAACTTCTCAATACATTTCACGGAGAACATGATATACGAGCTCGAAATTGATGGTTTGGGTGACACTCTATTAGGAATTATATTGCAGGTGTTCATACATCCAGATGTCCACCTTCAGTTCCCAAAAAATGCATACTGTGGGTTTTCAAAGACCACCTTCTAAAACGTTTTAAACCTGCTCCTACCCTACTATTCCTCTTTTTCCAAATACGGAAAATGAAGTATGTGTTCCTATATAAATCAGTGAAACTCCTTGAAAAGTGTTAAGTGGACCCCACTGTTTTCTCTTATCACCTTATCCTTCTCCTCAACTATTTCCTTTCCAATATCTCATTTTCATTTCTCAATATCGGATATCCGATTTCCTGTTGGTCATTCTATTGACTCTTTTTTGACGATAATCAAATAGAACGAGAGTCGGTTATGGAGGAGGAGAAGTGATCGGTGCGAGGTGGTTTCGGCAAGCTTGGAGGCATTTTTTCGAAATGCCGGAGAGAGACAAAAAAAAGTCCATGACAGAATATGGTACATTGAAAAAAGTGGTACGGGAACAGGATCAATTTTTTTCCAAGTAGAGAAAAAGAAGACTGTGGATATTTTGAACGGACTGATTATTGAATTTCATATTCAGAAAAAACTGGGATAATCGGGTTTTTAAAAGAATTTTGAAATAGACGCAGAATGATAAGCAAATGAAAAAAAGAAAATGATGTTTCTGTATCTTGTTAGTTCTCGGTAGTGGATAGAAAAAGTTCAATAGAGCCGTAATCTTTCGAAGTATGAAAAATTGAGACTCCAAATTCTGGGTTTTAGCAATGTTCAAGATTTTAGAGAGTTCTAAACTTAACGAACATTCAGAAACATCGATTTTCAGCTTCTGAGGGTATTAAACTTTAGACTTTCTTTCTGAGACGTTTAGATTTTAAAAGTAGATCCACTTTGATTTCCAAAACTTCAAAAACTTTCTAGACAATTTATTTGTTTTGAGGCTCTAAAATTTCTATATTTTACGTATGAAGTGCTGAAATTCTAGTTTCTCTATGAATTCTATGAATTTCGGACTCACTGATTTTCAGACTTTTAATTATATAATCTTATTCTATCAAATTCTGAAAATTTCTTAAATTATTAGTCCTCATATATCTTAAAACTTTAGTTTGTTCCCTGTTGGACTTTATTTTTCATCTACTCCTTTTTCAGGATTACGGTATCATTTTCATTCTCTTCCTGCTATTCTTCTTCTATTTCCGTCCCTTCCTTTGTCACCATCCGGAGAGGGGGACAAAATCATCTTTCATGGATGGAACAGCGAAGAAACATTCTCAATTTTCGAAACCTTGGACCCAGTTTTTTGTCTCATTCTCTCTCCAGACATTCTTCTCGCTTCTTCTATTCTATCCTATTTTCTTTCTGTGTGTATGAGAAGGTCATGATGTTAAAGAAACGGAAGAAAAACCGAAAAACGGACAGTGTTTACCCCGTGTTTTCTTTTTTCATTGTGTTCGACGCCTCCCTTTCCAACAATTGCTTACAATGGAAACAAACTCTTGCGCTGGCCCCCTGCTCACCGAGACAGATAGAGAGCTCCAGAAGAAAGGAACGGCTGATGGTCAGAGAGAAAAGAATTGAAATGGAAACCTTCGGAAGGGGTTGGGTTTGTCTCTTCTAAGCAGGCTTTTAGATTGACAGAAACACCTGACTCAATTTGGAATTTGGAGAAAGTGAAGAGAGAAAAAAGGCGAGATGGTTTGAGAAAATTGGAGGGTGAGGAAAATTCTGAGATGCTGAGTCAGTTGAACTTTGGCCCAAAAGGAGAAGGGCAAATCAAAATGTTTCTTGAGTGTCCACCGGCCGGTTTCACAAGATTTCGTCATGAATCTGGTATGGCCCATACCGTATGAGGAAGTCTTGGTAGAATTCAGAATAAAAATATTATCGATGTAGAAGTTTGAATACCGCGCTCTACTGCACATAAAAAACTTTTCAATTTTTCCTTTGTTAACCACGAAAGGTGGTAGGTAAATTAAAATAAGTACGGTAGTGCGCGGTATCCAGGCTTTCATCCCTTTAAAGGGGGCGTCCGCTAATTCCAAAAATTTTGAGATTTTTATATCAATCGATCCAGAATTTTGGGTCGGGAAAAAAACTCTCTTGGAGGATAGTCCGAAAATCACTCGTTCTTAAGATATATGTCAAAAAAAAAGGCAAAAAAATCAACTTAGAGGGTGCAGATTAGGGATCTCGACAAGAGGCAGAATCCTTGAGGGTGCACGCAAAGAAATGAATAAAAACGTGAATTATTTTCCTTGTTATTCTCCATAATCCGCACCCTCTACGTTGATTTTTTTTGACCTGTTTTTGACATATATCTTAAGAACGAGTGATTTTCGGACTATCCTCCAAGAGAGTTTTCTTCCCGACCCAAAATTCTGGATCGGTTGACATAAAAATGCCGGTTTGATAACAAAAAAACGAAACGGCTAGAATAATGAAAAGTTGTTTCCTGGATCAATGATTCCTCATTAATTGAACAGAATTGACAGATTTTAAGTAACTTTTTTATTCCAGGAGATGATTTTTTCAAAAATTTAGGTCAGTTCGTTTTTGAATTATTTTTTACAAATATTAAACTATAACGGCAAGTTTCAGAAATACTGGGACTTAGAAAAAAAGAAAATACTAATTTGAACAGCGGACATTTGCATTTTTTTAAAAACTTCCTCCGGATAATAAATGTTTTTCGATACTAAGTATGTTACGAAGAGTTTATTCCAAAGACTATTTTTTCTACAAGATGAATTACACAATAGAAAATTGAAAATGATCCTCAAAGTTTTTAAAAATCTACTGTATGAAAATCAGAGGTTTTCGATTCCAAGAGATTACAAGAGAGAGACATACGATGTCAAAATTTCGAAAACAATTTCTTCTGGTAACAGAAGTTTGAACTACAAATAGATAAACTAGTCCAAGGAATTGGAGTATTATACAGTAACCCAGATACCGTCGATTTTTGAACTCAATTGTCTCGCTTCTTGTGAAAGATATCAAAAATTTGTCAACGTATAGAATATTGTAGATATTCTGATAAACAGTTGATCAGATGACGAATTTTTAAAATCTTTCAGAGTAATCGAGATAAATGAAGCTCACAGTGGACGGTTTGGGTGGGCTTCTTCAAGAGGAAATACGGTATGTCAAAACTTTGAAAATTCAAAAACTCACTGCTGCTGTGGAAAGTGCCAATAAAAGGCAGAGTAGGAATAGTAACCGAAGAGAAGTTGGGCGTCCCATCGGGATATATCTCTTGTGGAAAATTTGAGACCAGTTTCAGCAAGATGGGCTCAAAACGAAATCTTCAAAGGAAAAAGGGAGAATAAAATGAAGACGAATATATATGAGTCAAGAAAATATAATGATGATAATAAGTGCTTCTTCTTCTTTTGAGTTGTTTCTTTTTGCTTCTTCAAAATCTATTCCGCACTTTTCTGTCTCTCTCGATTCTCTCTCGCGTCTGGATGCTTACTGCTTGAAGAGCTCAGGGGCGGTAAAAGCTTCCCGCGCGGAATGCTCTCGGGAGCATTTGGGGAGGTGTGAGGGCGGAGCTTTACCGATTTCCGCGCCACCGGGCAAAAAGGACAGCCTGACGCGACGGCCGGCAAAATTGCCTGTTTGTTTGTATTTCGCCATGTACAAATTTCACAATTTTTGCTATGAATGTTCGGACAAGGGAGAAAAAAGGAAGGCGGAGAGAACGTTCTCCTTGAGGAAATACACACTAATTTGGAGCTCTCCGCAGAGAGATAAAATAGGGGACGATCCTCTTGTCTGTTTCCGATGATTGTTTGTTTTTTTATGGGTTAGAAGGCATGTTTTGTTTTGTTTCGAGAGGTTCGGAAGGAGGGAGGAAAAAGAAGAAGAAAGGGCATTGTGTATGATTAAGCACAAGTGATTAGCTGATTTTTGATGAGTGCCCCCCGAGAAATGGCAAAAAATGGGATGGAGAACAGGAGGATTTCCAAAAGGAGAGCTAAAAAAGGACAAGTGCAAAAGTGGGTTGGCAAGCCTCAGCTGGATTTGGAGACGAAACTGGATTTTGATAAAAATCAAAATTTTTCAATTAATGTTTAAAAACTTGTATATTTTGTGAAACCAAGTATTCGAAGTCAAGAGATTAGAATTTTTGTGGTCTTGGAGCTTCTGAGATTTGAAGTGCCAATATTTTTATTCTAGAGCTGGTTTTAGCTACCGTAGAACCTGTAATAGAAGGGCCCCCTAACGTTCAACTTCAGCCAATTTATCTCGGTTCCTGTGAAATATATAAAAAAAAGTTGTCAACTGATAATTTGTTTGTCATAATATCAGATATGATTTGTCAGTTAAAACATTTTTGACATCTTGAGAGAAGACTCCAGATAGCTGCCTAGTAAACCAAGGCTGTCCAAAATGACGGTCCGCCACGGCCACCAGCGGCCGAGCATTGCACTGCACAGCTTTGGGTCAAACTAATTTATTGCTTCGAAACTCGATGTGGTCGAAGTTTTCGCAAATTTTTGGAAAACGCTCGAGGTACTGATGGAAATTTCTACTCATGATATGGCTATCTTTTTCAATTATATTGTTGGCAGGAATAGTCCTGACGGTCCTTATCCGGAAATGTTATCGAAATCTAAAACTTCAGATTCACACTGATCGACATCCTGATCAGAACTGATTGAGGTTCCATCCCCAATGGTGATTCCCAACTCAAATTATCAGACAACAATTCAAACACATCAAAAATTAAATTTCATTTTCCTTTCATTTCACATTAATAAAAAAATAATCATTAGCTTTAATGTTGTGTCAAATGGCGACTAGTCGCCGATGTAGTTGGTGGGTTTGGAAGAAAGTTGGCTGGTGACGTGGCCCATCTAGAAGAGATCCTCGTTGGCAGCCTCCATGGAGAGTTCGATCCAGGCCTGAAATTTGGATTCTGTATACTGTTGTTAAGAAGAATTCATCTGAATTCTGCACCAAACAGTTCTATAAATCCCTTACCACAGCCGAGTAGGCAAGAGTGGAAACGACAAGGACGGCGGTGTAGATGGCGTTCATCTTGGTGGTTGGTTGATTTGGTTGGGTTGGTTGGATCTTCCTCTCCAGTCTCTGATTCTTATATACCCACTGATTTGTCATCATTTAGCTGATAACATCTGTTTACGCCATGTGGCAGAAGCAAATGATGACAAATAGATGGGCATAAAAGGGATCGGGAGAAGCCGAGATTCAATCGATCCGATCGAAAATTCAATCAATCAGAGATGAACGCCATCTACACCGTGGTCCGTGGAAGCAAATGATGACAAATAGATGGGCATAAAAGGGATCGGGAGAAGCCGAGATTCAATCGATCCGATCGAAAATTCAATCAATCAGAGATGAACGCCATCTACACCGTGGTCCTCGTTGCATCAACTCTTGCCTACTCGGCAATGGTCAGTCTGGGAGCTCCTGGACGTTTCCGAATGGTGACGTTTCAGAACTCGACATTTCAGAACCCGACACTTCAGAACCCGAAACTTCGGTACTCGACGTTTGAGAACTTTTCTGCATTTTTGCGTAGGGTTTTACTCAAACGTAAAGTTCTCAAACGCCGGGTTCTGAAGTATCGGGTTCTGAAATGTGAAGTTCGAAAATTTCGAGTTCTGAAATATCGAGTTCTGAAACGTTGTGGTTCTGAAACGTCGTGCTCTGAAACGTCCAGGAGCCCAGTCTGGGAGAACTTGGAATCTGTTTCTATTTCAGACAGGAACTGTTTTGTCATTGAAATTATAAGGTTCTGAAATTCCCAGCTCGAGCAAACAAGAATTTTTCAGGCCTGGATCGGATTGAGCATCTACCCAACTTCCGAAGAAGTCCTCTTCTAGATGGATCGACTACCATGTCATCCTCCACGTCAAATCCACCAAGCATGAACCATAGTCGATATAAGTGCCCAAATAAAGCGCCTTATTTTTTGTGTTCTATTGATATCTAGCAAACTACAGTAACCCAAGAATTTATTAGAAAAAATCGCAAGTCAAAGACAAGAAAAAGCATTGACTAGAAACGGTCAATTTTTGTACTAATACAGTTGAAATTAAGTTACTCCGAATTTACAGATAAAAAATAAATTAAAAATAAATTATTGGCGATGAGCAAAGTCTTCACCGATTCGTTCGGTTTTCGTTTCCTTCATTCGGCGTCGCATTTTCGATTGACATACTGGATAACACGTTGTTTGACACGCAGCCATACAATTTGGGTTATTTGGAAGACATTGGTGTTCACATTGGACCTGGAAAAAGAAAATTAGATTAGAAGAGATCAAAAGAAACAAGACTGTCTAGCTTCTCTACGTCCCTCAGATTACAGTTCCAGAAAAAATGTCGAAAGTCATATGTAACACCTCTTCAAAAACCTATTGTTTCCAAAATCTTCCAAACGGATTGTTCAGCAAAAAAAGAAGTGAAAAACATAGAAACAATAGAATTATGAGAGTGTCTATGTGAAGACATAGTTCATTGGATACTATTTTCTGGTGTTCTATTTGCACAATGTTCTTCGGTTTTTCTCGCTCCGACACTCCGAAATAGTCCGAGAGAACACATGTGAAGCGCGATTTGGAGAGGATGGAGGAGGATGAGCAAGATTTCAGAGAGGGAATGCTCAAGTGGATGGTCACTTGGCGGGCAAAAGAGAAGGAACAACACAACGGATGAATTGGGATTAACAGCTGGATTTTGAGAAAAGGGATCCAGGAGGAGAGGATCTAGAATCTAGAGAAACTAGGATTTGAAGGAAAAATCTCCTGTTACCGGACTTTAATAGGTACTGTATTTCTCCGGTTAACATAAAACCTGTATTAGAAGGGCCGGCTCCAAAGTAGCTCATGCCCTTTTATTAGACGTTTCAATTAGAGGGGCCTTTTTATTTTTCCAGTCATTTTTCCAAATATCTTTATCGAGAAATTCGGAAAATTCTTGTTCGAAATTTGTGAAAATCTATCATCCATCAAAATTGAGAAAGTTTTCAACCAAAAAATAGTGTTTCAATAAACTGTTGTGAAATTGTGGAATTTCCGGAATATTTTTCACTGAAAACAGACGGAAATTTTTAATTTCGAACAACGCATTTTGAAGAGAGCCCTTATACTACAGGGCCCTCATTTTTTAAAAGCCCATCCCGAGAGGCCCTTCTATGAGAGCGGTTCTTTTATGAAAGGGATCGCACTTGGGTTCAAGCCAATAGGTCAGAAATCGCGCCCCAGTAAACGTGAGATTTTAGAAACACGGTGAGTTTTTCACTACCGAATGCGAAACAGTCTGCGACGTTTAAAAGTACAACGGACAAAAAAAATCTGATTCATTTTCTTACTATATATTCTTCATAAAATTTACTAAAAATTTATGGAACAGAAAAAAAAGTTATGGACTAGAATTCGAGAAAAAAAATTCCAAAGTTGAAGCAGCGGTAGTGAAAAACTCACCGTGTAGAAAAAATTCGCTGCTGAATTATGTGGCTGAGGATCAAACTTTTAAACGTTTCACGAAAAAATCACGCGTTGCAACTCGTTGATTAAAACTAATTAGGTCAAATCCACGTCAACTTGGAAATTATTAAATTTCTTCTGGCCTAAAAGTTATTTGGGGCGCGTTTTTTGACCCGTTGGCTTGAACCCAAGTGGGATCGTTCTAATACAAGTTTTACGGCATGTCAAAACCTCTATATTTACTTTCTTTCGATTTCCTCAGTCCCAAAAATAACTTCTATTACATTTTCGTCATTCGGTTATTCTGAAGTTTTTGATATTTTTTTACAGGAACCGACACAATCCGGGATTCACAATAAATATCCTAGTTATTTCTTTTTTTCCGAATTCTAAAAAATGTGTTTCTGAAACTGACCAAGCACTCGTTCCTACAAATCGTTCCTAGTGTGATCACTGCTGGTGCTGGCGTAGTTGTGGTAGCTGAAAAACTTTAAGTTTTCTAAAAATCACTCAAATTCTTAACTCACTATCTGGAACAATGATTGGAACTGCTCCAATAGGGATCAGCACAGCTTGAGCAGGTTTTTCAGTGGTCTGTGGAGGATTTGTGACTTGGGACAGGGCGATTTGCATCTGGAAATTCTTTGTGTCAGTTCATGCTATACACATTTAAAAAAAAAACAACCTGTACAGTAAACATGCATTGTTGTGTGCAAGCTGGCATACAAACCGACACACACTGACCGCCCGTCGATGACGTCGGCTGAATTTGAGTGGTGGCGACGGCGACCTGCAAGCTTTGATCTTGCACATTTTATTATGTTCTCGATGTCTGTTTTTTTACCGGCTTCACAATAGTACAAGTGTCCTCACAGGCTGGCGCGCAATTCGATTGGCATTCGGTGCCAGGAACTCCAGAAGAGCTGGAAAATCGAGGGATCGTAAACAATTCTTAAACTGGATAATCAGAAACTTACGCGCAAACTGAAAGACAAGCGCTGCTACAACTCGTTCTACATGTAGTTTCATCGGTTTTCGAGTCAAACATTTGGGTGATCACTTTCAGTGTTGGACGCAATTTGGTGCACACGAAGCTGCATGCTGGTTGGCATTCCATTGGACAGGTGATCTAAAAATGCGAAGTTTTGTTTGGACCGCGAAAGATCGGGTTAAAAAAGGTATTTTCTGTGATACGGTACGTCGGCAATCGTGAATTATTTATAACCCATTAATTTACCGTGAACACTCTAATAGAATGACCCCCCTAGCTTTCAACTTTGAGTCAGTTTATCTCTGTTCCTCTGAAAGATACTGGCAAGTAGTAACCTGACAAAATGTTTCTAATATTATGATAACCATTTTGTCAGTGGACTGCTTTTTGATATCTCTCATAGGAACTAAGATAAAATGGATCAAAGTTGACGGTTTGGGAGGCATCATATTAGAGTGTTTAAATTATTTTTCTATGATTTTACCTGAATCTTCTGACTCAAAATAACTGGAGCTGGAGTGGTAGTTGTCGTTGGTTTTGTTTGCAATGATCCTGCAGGAATCACAAATCGATATTCCTGAATATGTGATGGAAGTGGGATCATTACAGTCGTGGCAGGTGCTTGAGTGGTGGTTGGTGCGGGTGTGGTTCCCTGTTTGGCACAAGTGAATTCGCATGCTTCGTTACAAACTTGTCCGCATTTCATATTAAAATTCAACTTGTTACAAGAATCAAGGCACGAGCTCTCACAAGTCGACACGCAGTTGTATGGCTTGAAGAGTCCGGGAAGAGATGGTCCAGTGATTATGTTTCTCTGAAAGTCAAAAAATACTCTGTGTATGTGTATCGGAGTGTTTTTTTTAACTTCAAGAAGACCAATTATCTCTTACTCATGGAAACTAAATTTAAAAGCACTTACCACATTCCCTTCAGTGCATATACATTTAGGAGGTACTGGTGGTGAGCATGTGCAAATCATTTGTCCTCCACCGAGCTCTGGGGTCGGCATTACCTGACAACCACATTTCGGAGCTTCGCCAGGCGTACAGTCGCAGTTTTGTCGTTTCGTTCGTTTTGGATTCGCCTGGAAAACAGAGAAAGTTCATGATGTTCTATGATTAAAAAAATCTGATTTTATTAATGTTATGTCACATATTCTGGGATAATAAGTTGATTAATGACACTAATTGTTCTCAATATACATTTATTTCTGAAATACTCTTTCCCATCACTAATTTGATTGTAACCATCTCACAAAAACATTTTTATTGTTACTTGAAAAAATTAGAATTTATAGAATTTATGAGGTCTATTAGTTAATTTCACTTCTTGATTATCTTTCTACTTTTTTGGATAAAAAGGCTTTCAAACTTCATTTTTTTTTGCAGAACACTGATTCTGAAATCTATAGTTCATTTGAACAAAGTAAAAAAGGAGAAGCCTAAAATACCGTAAAACCTATAATAGAAGAGCCCTCTTTTTTATGTTTGAGCTAATTTATCACGGTTTCTGTGAAAGATAAAAATATGTAAACTGATAAACTGTTTTTCTTAATTTCACAATCTTTTTATCAACTGACGTATTTTATAAATCTTTAACAGCAACCGAAATAAATTGGCTCAACGTTAAAAGTAAAGGGGGCCCTTCTATTACAGGCTTTACGGTAGTATGCAAAGGGATTCAAAATATATGAATGAGTAATTTGATACCATAAGAAAGATCTGAAATCGGAAATTCAAAATCGCATTTCAAAAAAGTAGAAGTTCTTTAATGCCAAAAAATGTCAATGATCAAAGAAAAAAGTAGGACTTCAGTGAAAATAAATAATTTGGAAAAAAAGGTGACTGTAGGTTAGAAATATGGCACAGCAAATGTGGAGAAAAATTTTACTACGAAAAAAAGGAAATTAGAATATGAAGAGAAGAATCGGATGTGAATTGTGAAGGATGATTTCAGAAAGTTTGATAAATTTTTGTTTCGTTTTACCAGAATTTTTACTCTCAAAAAAGTTAATAATCAAGAAAATTTAAAATTTTAAAATTTTAAAATTACCTGTACACTAGAAATGACCAAAATAACAACGACTAGAATGCCGAAACTCCTCATTATTCTTCTTCTCACCAACTGACAAGCAAAATGTGCCAAACTGTGCCATTTTCTGCCTTATTTAAGCTTTTTGGCGCTCAAATCGGCCGTCGGGCATCCGGTCGGGACGTTTTTACCCCCCGGGCGTGTGCCGCTGTGTGAACCTTGTTATCGCTTTGTTAATGAACAAGATAATGCGCATGATAAACAGAAGAGACGAGAAAAAGGCGGCAATTGGGAATGGAAGACAGAGAGGAGGAAGAACAGTATAAGAGTCAGAACACAATAAAGATACATGCAAATTAACGAAAGAAGAAGGAAAATAACTCGTGAGATGATGGAAATCAGTGTTTGAGTGACGAATTAGTCTGGCAGCGAACTACACTCTTCTGCTGGGTAAAAATTGAAAGTGGAAACAATTTGCATAAGGTGGGGTTCGTTGGAAACCATTTTCGACTTTAGTGATTTCTGGTTTTTTTGAGTCATCCACTTTTGTCAGTTTGAAGTTTTTCTTTATTTACACGTAGTTCTGATATTTGCCAAGGTATAATTTAGCTCAAAGTTGACTGTTTGGATGAACTTCCTTTAGAGGACGTACGGCAATTAAAATTTAATCATACACCACCTTAAAAAATAGGATATTCAGATGCCGATTAAAATAAAAACAATATCAGTGTTTTTGAAGCCGTATGATTCACCTGGCCGGCATCTATGTGCTTTAATATTTCAGACGAACTGTTTGTCGATGTTCGTTTGTAAAGGATAGTGGGTCTTGTCACTGTAACAACTTTTTCACTTGTTGATTTGGATGATAGCACGGTTCTTATCCCTATACATTTTTTTTTCACAATACGGTCTCTGGATTAACTGTACAGAAAGATAATCTTGTTCATTTATTTGATTTGTGTGGTCCATCTGAAAAAACTCTGAGCGGTCCCAGAAAACAGTGCTATCCAACTAATCCTCACACATTGGATGAAAGATCCTATTTGGATGGTTGAACCCACAAAGGAGTGAGTGTGTTTAACCAACCAAGGATTAGCCACCTAACGTCTTCACAATTCGGTCTTTGGACAAAACGTAAAGAATCGGTATCTTGCTCGTTTATTTGATTTGTGTGTCAGCGAAACGTTTCTACCGTCCAGACGCAATGGATGGTCCCAGTTGCACAGAAGCGGGAGTATGTTTACCTAATCAAGATCATCCTACAATCACCATTGGACTATCCACGCCTTCAGTTTATTATTCTGATAACTGTTTCTATTCCTCTACCAACATCTCAATATTTTCAGAACCACAAAAAATGAAACTGAACAAATATCCGTATTTGGTTCAAAATGAGATCTTCGATAACATGAGTTTCCCCAGTCTATTTCTGCTGTCGTTTGTCTCCAAAAATGTGAAGAAATAGATCAAATCGTCTCAATCGCCACGATTCAAAAGTATCGATTCAGTTGAGTATTGACTTTCGGTGAGTTATTATAAGGAGAAGTTTAATCATAAAAAGTCTCCTTAATTCAGATTAACCGACGAATTTAAATCTCCGGCAGCATGATCCGCATGAAAAAGATAACGTCGTCAAATCTGTTCATAATTATCTAATCAGCTTCATCGGAGATTCTGTGGAGTATCATTGGATAATAAATGACTACAGCAGTATTACTCCACAACTGCAAAACTTATCAGTGTGTATTCTTCTTCCTTTTGGGTTGAAATTTGCTGCCGAGAATAACGTTGGAACACTTTTCTCATCATCTCCAAACTTGAAATATTTTCATATGTCTCTCATATCAACCATATTAAGCCCTGAATCCGAATCCAAATTGTATCAGGCTGAATCTATTAAAATCAGCCAACTTGGAACGGCGATTCCTGCAGTTTTACGTCATTTTCAAGGAAGACATGCTATTTTCAAATACTTTAGCTGTGACATTTCAAAATTCATTGAGTTTGTGAATAGATGGAAATCAGGAGAGGCTTATCAAAACCTGGAATACTTGAAAATCAGAATTGTTAGCCATGATGTCCGCCAGGACGAGATTCTGAATGCAATTGAGGCAAAACATATTGATGCACAGAAAACGCCACTAACGCACCCTCTGCCCAGACGGTATGATATTTTTTAATATTGAAAAATATTTACTCCTCTGTAATTTTTCTGAAGTAAGCAATCGCTTTTCAGATACACTGAATATACTAAACAACCGAATACGGATCCGATCATCAACCACTCCTATGTCGTTCGAGAATCGGATAATCGTGTGGCATCTTTTCTAATTGCTAAGTTTTGGAGTGTGGGATAAAACAGAAGAAGAGTTTTTGAGAATGATGGAATAAATGAGATCGAGGAAAGTTACAATCTGTGTGTTTCACACCTTCCACACCATTTTTGAACAATTCCGTCTCTGGAGTAAACGTACAGAACCCTTATGTTCCTCGTTTATTTGGTTGGTGTGTCAACGAAACGTTCCTAAATAATCCAGACGCAATGAATGGTCCCTTTTGAACAGAAGCGGGAGTATGTTTACCCAATCAAGGTCATTCTGCAATCACTATTGGACTCTCAACACCTTCTGTTTATTGTATTATTCATCTTCTCTGCCAATCATTTGTCGTTATTTTCTGATGATTGTTTCTATTCTTCTATCAACACCTCAATACTTCCAGATTATCAAATGAAACTATCCAAGTATCCGTCATTGGCCCAAAATGAGATTCTTGATAACATGAGTTTCCCCTGTCTATTTCTGTTTTCGTTTGTATCCAAAAGTATGAAGAAACTGATCAAATCGTCCCAATTGCAACGATTCAAAAGTATCCATTCAGTTGAGTATGACTGTTGTGATTGGCTTTCACATTATTTTAATATTTGCTACCAATCACGAATTAAGGAGACATTCACATATGCCCAGAAGAAGGAAACTGAAAATAGGGATAAGGCGAATAGAACTGATCATTTTTCGTTGTACGTGTCTGGATACATAATTGACTTTCGGTGAGTGAATATGAGAAAAAATTAATCATAAAAGTATCATTATTCCAGATTTTCCGAATACAAATCTCTGGTGACAACTTTTCATCCGTATGAAAAAGAACATATCATCAAGTCTATTCATAATTATTTAATTAGTCTCATCGGAGATTATATGGAGTATCATTAAGCTCAGAATCCGAATCCAAATTGTATCAGGCTGAATCCATTAAAATCAGTCAACTTGGGCATTCGAATCCTGCAGTATTTCGCAACTTTCAAGGAAGACAAGAAATTTTAAGATGCTTTAGCTGCGACGTTTCGAATCTGATCGAGTTTGTGAATAATTCAAGATCGACTCCCCCAGGACAGAATTATGGATGAAATTGAGGCAAAACACATTGATGCAGAAAAAACGCCACTGACACACCTTTTGCCCAGACGGTAATGTTATTTTTAATATTGAAAATAGTTACTCTTCTGGAATTTTCCTGAAGTAAGCAATTTTTTTCAGATTCATTGAGTATACTACACAAACGAAAACCGATCCGATCGTCAGCCACTCTTATGTCGTTCGAGAAACAGATAATCATGTGGCATCTGTACTATTTGAAGAAAGGACGCTAAGTTTTGGAGTATGGGATAAAACAGAAGAAGAGTTTCTAAGAATGACGCTAGGGCACCGTTCCTCGTTCAGAGTGCCCTTGGATCGCCAAATCCCTGCCCTTAGCTGGCAGATCTAGTGTCCCTACCCTCTCGGGCACGATTACTGCGTTGCAGCGGTAGCTACTGGTCTCCCAAGATTGCTAAAATTTTACTGAGTTTTCATGTTACTTTTTTGTAAGCTTTCGATTTTCTTCTTTATATGTAATCAATTCTAACATATATTTTTTGTATTCCTTACAATTAGATTAATCACTTGTTCACCGCATCCAGAAACAATGATTCTGTTTTGCGGATTATTGAGTATTAAACAAAATATCAATATTTTCTGGATAAGCTCTGATGTTTTTATCAAAATTGTAACTTAATCTATATTTAAACCTGAAAATTATCAACCCATTATTTTTTATTGCTTGATTTTTCTTTCGAATATGCACCAATGGAGCACTATTTCTTCCAAATTTTTTAAAACTATGCTCTAGTATAGATGATGACGATTCTCGCCCATAATTCAGTTCTTTGTTCGTCCACCCGCTCCCAAAAATTCCACTACACGTCGAAAAAAAGCGAATAACGACCTACAAATTGCCACAAATCGCCTTGTTCTCAGTTCGTCTCTCTCGATTCCTGTCTAGGCACAAAAGAAAAAAAGAGCACTTGAGAAATGTGTAGTATGATGTGTTTTTGGCCGCGCACGGAGCATTGGTAAAACTTTTCGGTCGTTGAGCTCATGGACAATAGAATGAAAAAAAGAAGCATGAAGAAAGAGGAGGAATGTTCATTTGGGGGAAAGAAAAGGTGTCTCGTTTGTACAAGCAAATCCTTTAAATATGCAGAAAATGAGTGCGAATTTTAAACTCTGCAGCATTGCGAGCCACAAATTGAGTAGCCTGACGAGCAGGAACACGAGCTTCCAGATGTTCCAGACATGCAAGGAACCACCAGGGTCCTCGCAGTATTACACGTCGATCGACAGGTTTGTTGGCATGCGGGAATGCAGACGCTGAGGGATGATGTAGACGAACATGTGGAACGGCAGCCACTGTTACAGGATCGTTCACAAGGGGTCTGAAAATGATAAAATTTGATTTACGTAAAAAATATTTGGTCCGGAACAATGCCTGGGTGACGGGTCATTAACCCGCACATTTTCTGTCTGATCACTCAGAACAAGACAGTTTCAAAAAGTATTTTTTTATCTTCATTTTTTTCATTTAAAGTACCGGTCAATAAGGGGTACAAAACGTATTATTCAATCAGTTTTTGGCCATTTGACTATTTTCAGGAGTCCGGGACTCGACTACCAAGTGTGGGTGATAAAAAACATTAGATTGAAAACCTTGCTTGCACAGAATTTTTTGAAATCATCTAGGTATGTCTTACATTCTCCAACATTTTCAAAGTGATAGGATACTTGAGCGCTGAGCTCCAAACTCCTGAAAATGGTCAAAATAGCCGAAAATCCACTGAAAAATACGTTTTTGTACATTTTTAGCCGGTACTGTACTTTTATACCCGTCTCGACTCTTCGCAATCTTACCACAACAACTAAATTATTGGTGTTATTGCTGTTACAACTTCCTCCCGAGCAAGAGTTGCACGATCCGAGACACGTGTTTTGGCAGGTTTGACGACATGTTGTAGTTGTGCAAGCAGATGAACATTGCTGAATATCCAATTTCCATTTTCTCGAAAAAGTTTTTAAACCACATTTGAACAAGAGTTCTGACAGTTTCTTACACTTGACGGGATAACAATTACTATTGGTTGACTTCCTCCATTTGAACAAGCATTTGAACAGGAGTTGGAGCACGTGTTGGAGCAAGATGGTGTCGTACAGATTTGAAGGCATTGAGTATTACATCTGGATGTACACGAATTTGTTACAATACCACACAGAGATGAGCAAGAGTTGGTTTCACAGGTACGGATGCACGATGGGGTGGTACATGCGGAGGAGCATGCGGATTGGCAGGATGAGCACGAGGGACCCGTAGAAATAGAGATGGTAGAGCATTGTTGGTTGCACCTGGGAATGAATGGTTGTCGAAGTGAATCTTAATAGAAAACTCACTGATTTCCACATTGTTGTGTACAAATTGGTGTGGTACATGCCGATTGACATTGTGCCATACACACGGGGATACAGTAGGAGCTTGACGATGAACAGCACGAGCTGCTAGTACTTCCACAACATTGGCGACGGACTCGGCTTACGGTCGTGAGTGGGAAGAGCTGCAATTCTTCTTGTTTCTTGAGATAGTTGTTTTTGAGGGGTACTGTTGGTCAAAAAATAAGCACAGGAACATGCCCTATTTCCTTTAATAAGAGCCCGACTGTCAACTTTAAGCCCATATATCAAATTTTCTGTGAAAGATATCACAAAGTGGTAAACTATCAAAATATTTGTCATACTTTCAAAGCATTTTGTCATTTTACGACGTTTTGATTTACAACTTTTTCAATATCTTTCACAGGACTCGAGATTAAGCACAAATCAGTCCGTTCGGGCTTCTATTTAAGGAAATTCAGTAGATACGGAGACAAGTTGATACAAATTTATTTCTAGTTATAGTGTAAAATTTAAAAACTCTGAAAATGAAGTTGGTTTTAAACTTTTTACTCTAAAAAACTTCTCTGCAATTTTTTACGAAAATGTTCGAAGTACTCTAAAATTCGAAAATCTAAAACTCACCTCTGCTGAGACCACCGGTATAGCAAGGAACACAAACATCCACATTGTCATTTTGTTGCTCTTCAACAATTCAAATTTTTGTCACACTTCACACAGAGACTCGCTCACTTGAAATGTTTTGCATTTTATATAAAATTTGGACACTTTACCCGACTATCCGGATACCTCCTTTTTTGAATGACTCCACCCTCTGGTGGACTCTGGTGGGTCTCGGGCGCCAAGAGGAGCACTTGGAAGAAAGACGAAACAAATAAATAAACAACAAGCTTCATTTGTGACACACAGGTGTTCAGGAAATTGAGTCGACCGTATGTGAGGGGAGAAAAAGTGCGCGAAATTCAAAATGAATTGACACTTTTAAAAAACGTCATTGACCGGAAATGGGAATGATATTTGTGTGCTCAAGCTGTAGTTTGATTTGTTGAATAGCTAAGGAATTTCAAGGACCTGGAAGAGAGAAACTTTTTGGATTTTTGGTCAGCTTTAGGTGTGCGAGGAAATAAGGAATTTTTAAAAGTGCATATTTCGTGCAAAGTGTGTGTGTGTGTGTGTGTGTACTGTAGATTCTATAGATGCCATAAAGCAATGTTCTGCCTTATAACTTGAACGAGTACGTTTTTCGAGCTAAGGATATTTCGGGGATGTTCATACCGTATTTCCTCTGATAGTAGGTCACTCAGACCGTCAAGTTTGAGCTCAATTATCTAAATTTCTGTGAAAGATTTCAAAATCGTGTCTACTAATGAAATGTTGGCAATATTATGATAATTAATTTATCAGCTGAAAAAAGTTGTTTCATATATTTTTCAGAAATCGAGATAATTGAGTTCAAAATTGACAGTTTAGGTTTGCTTCCATCAGAACAAATACGATAGTTATTTTGATGTAACAGATTCTTGATGACGTGGCACAATACCTAAACTTCTGTCAATTCATATTTCAAGTGTATCTAACAAGTGAACCGGATTTCTCAGCCAAAAAAAACAGCATTAGTCACAAATTATTTATTTAAAAGAGAAAATATTTGGGGTAACTTGTTTCAGCGGAAGTCGGTGCAATCTGTGTTTTGTGGTTGAATGGATGAAGTGGTTTGTGAGTTGTTTTCTGAAAAATACGACTGAAGAATTTTAAGTAATCGAAAAAGATACCCGAAATTCGAGTACACTGATTTCCACACAACAAATTGTTCACAATGTTTTTGGCTCGCTGATCGGTCTGATTGGATGAGTTTGCGCCGAGCTGGAACTTTATAATTTTTATCAGAAGGTATGGTACCAAGATACCTTAGAATCCCATTTGTCGTAGGGTGGTCCAGACGAGTTCATTATAAAAATCAAGTTTAAAATCAAAGTTATGATTAAAGTGCCCCTAGAACTTTAGAGTTTCAAATTTTACCAGTTTACGTACATTTTCAGTCCCGTTCGAACTTTTCGAATTTTCTCGAAAGTCCTGCAGAAGTTTGTTTTTAGATGAAAACCCATTTCCAAAACAACCTTCCAATCAAAACATCACTCCACTTTTTTTACTCATCAGGTGAAACAAAATGTGTCACTATCAGGTGAACATTTCATCAGATGTTCCAGATATTTCCAGATGATCGAAAACCAAGTAATTGATCAGTTAGCAATTGGGAAGTACCAATTGATGACAGGGGTATTTCAACAGGAGACTCATTCACTTCCGGCTCCTGGATCTTTGGAAAAGAGGAGAGTCATTGAGAACTTTGTCTTTGTGATGAAGAGAGAAAATGTTTTCAACTTATTTTCAGCGAATCTGTCAAGAACAGGGCCGTGGGCGGCCGCAGCTTGAACCGTGGGTATTTTGGCGTAGACCAAGCAGTCCGTTTTTCGGAAATAATCTCGGCCAACCAGAAACTTCTAGGGCCGTTAGGTCGCCTAATCACACCGATTCCTGAACTGCCCTACCCAAAAAGCCGCGGCCTTGTTTCAGACAGCCCTGATTTTAAATTAAACATTGCGTTGGTAACTTCTGCTGATCGAGTAAAGTTACCATTGAAAGTTAAATTAGAAATTAGAATCTGAAATATGGAAAAAAGGTATTGTGGGAACCCTGAGTTATCTTATACGAGGCTCGAATTGTTTTCTTTGACCGAAATTTCAAATTTTGTTGAATTTTCAAATGTACTGGCATTCGGCTCTGAAGTTCTCGAATAGTTGGAGCAATATAGAATCTTTGTGAACTTCCTGGAAAATGTTATGCACTGTTTTCTCCAGATAAACGTCTTACTGTAGCCTGAATTGAGAATACAATGGATAAACCATTCAGAAAATTTAGGACAAGATGATCACGTGGACAGTAGTCTTGGCTACGTCATGTCCTAAAAAATTATACGAGGCTCCATAAAAAGAATGTTGATTTTTTTCCCAATTATTTCCGAATCAATCCCTGTTAAGCCATGTTCTGTTTAGTCCCAACTATGCCAGTCCCGACCCTGCTATCTACATTTTTGTTTTTTGTTTTGTAAACTCTTTCTGAGCCAGTTATCCATCTTGCTCCCCTTCCTCAAAAGTTCAACATTTTCCTTCTTCTCATATCACTTCGTTGTTGTTCACCTCCATCCGTATCACCACATGACCTCTACGATTACACCAAAGAAACGTAATAAACATTTGGGAGAGTGCCAAAAAAAAACGAAACAGCAAACAAATATAAAAAGTTTCTTCTTGCTCTCTCTTATCTTTCTTTATCAGAGTAAAGAAAATGTTGAGAAGTACGTCTGAACCCCTTGACACAGGGGGATCCCCACCTGACATTTGATCATGTGGGAATGGGAAAACCCGGAGAGGAATATTGGAAGAGCAGCTGATAAGAACTGGAAGAACTTGAAAGTTGACACTCCCCGAGACAATAAAAAAAAAATCGGAGAGTTTGAACTTTCGTTTAGAAAGCATAACAAACAGAGATCATGTACAAAAATGTCTGGAATTTCATGACACAGGTTATGATTGACAGCAATTTAAAGACTTTTAGTGTCATGTTTACGCCCTAAGACTTGCGTCAAGAATGGCTAGAAACAGCTGGAATAATCAGGAATTGAAGGCAAACATTCAAGAGTTCAAATATGGAAAAAAACGTGTTGATGGAGATTTTTGGTGATTTTTTTGTAGAATGCTCTAAAAATAAGAACATTTTGGAAGGTTATTTGAGAAAGTTGTGCTGGAAATAGCAAAATTGAGATGGAGCAAAATAAAAACCCCAATACGACTGTTTTCTAATAACTGAACATGTACTGTTTCTGAAATTTCACGATTTTCCAAAAAAAAAAAGACTTTCAGGGTCCGGCCGTGTGGACCGTGGAATTTTCCTATTTGAAACAAATTCGAAAAATTCAGAAGAATTTCAGTTTTTTGGTAAAGAAAGGAAATGGGGGAAAAACGTTGGGAGAACTGGAAAAGTTGGGTTTGCAGTTTCTAATTTTTGTATCTAAAATTTGAGGGTCCTTAGTTTTTCCCTCTGTCCCTGATCCCAAGTTTTTTCTAATGATAATATGAAATTTGAAAATTTGGAATAGTTTTCGAAATTTTTGATCACTCGTATATCCAAAATCAGTGGATCTGTAATGACATCAGTGAAGTTCAGCAAGTTTCATACTTCTCTCCAAATACTAAAAATCTTATCCTCTTTTTTAAAAATTGTAGTCATTGTCTTTGTTCGTAATTTGTCAGCTGGATTAAATTTCTAATACCGCAGGTTCTCAGATTCGTAAAATTTTTGAAACTTAAAAAATTACAGGAGAAAACACCAAAATCACCATAAAAGATCTGAAAATCTATTTTTTCCATCCCCTCTCTAACCATCTACAGTAACCGCTTATCTACAGTAACCAGACCACCGTGAATTCATGAGCATACCGTAAAACCTCTAATAGAACGACACCCGGATCGTCCACTTTGAGCCTATATATCTCACTTCTTTTGAAAGATATCAAAAAGTGGTTAAGTAGTAAAATGTTTATCAGGATATCAGCAACATTTTACTAGTTAACCACTTTTTGATATCTTTCACAGAAAATGAGATATATAGGCTCAAAGTGGACTATCCGGGTGTCGTTCTATCAGAGGTTTGACGGTATATATTTCGCTTATTCGAAGGATTTGAAGAAATAAGGAGTGATGGTAACCGGGGAAAGAAAATGGTAAAAAACGAAGCTAAGAAGGACTAACCCACAAGAGCCTTTCATCACATTTATTCACGTCATTTTACCGAATCTTGCACTCTTGCCGAACCCTTTCTACAAACAAAATACACACGCATAACACCTGTTCTTTTCTTTTTTTTTTCGTATTTCACTCTTGATCTGTTTGTGAAAAAAACCGACGTGACTCAACTTCCGATCTCGTTTTTTTCGATTTTTCGACTTGACCAATTGTTCTCTAATGGCATACTTTTTGTAATCGGGTTTTAAGCACAATTATTGTCATATTGTCATCTGATTTTTTTTTTGGGGAATCACCATTTCCAACTTGACCGCTAGACTCTGTAAGGCACACATGTGATTTTGTGCTCAATCACTTGGCGTCAAGCCATGAAAAAAAGAACTGATAAGAAACAAGGCGCCAAAGAAATATAGCGGTTTTTGACGAAAAATGTTGTAAATTTATGTATGTGTTTTTGTGGGAAAAGTGTGCCATCTGGAGTCTTCCGACCGATCATTGGAACATTCTATTTTGCGGGGTCATGAGTGGGAGAGAAGTTGATAAGAATTGTTTGTTCTGGAAGGTTCTAGAGGTCAAAGATAGTCAGAAACGCAGATTTTCTCCGGTTTCATGGAGTTATGTAACACTTGTGATGATGATTGCAAAGTTAGAAGAATTAATTGGATTACTGTAGAAGCACAGTGTAGTCTACAGAATTCAAAAGCATCGTCTAGAACTTTCAAGACATGATTATTCAGAAAACAGTACAAAGTCTGAAGAAAGACAAGCCGTGTTGGCTACTGTTTTGGTAGCACATTGTAGCTAAGAAGAAGCAAGCGGATGGAAAACTGTAGAAGGATTTTTGTGGGGTAAACAAAAACAAAAGTATACTCC